ACACACACACACACACACACACACACACAAACACTTCCTCTGTCTCCCTCCTTTTACCTCCAACTGGGATGTGTCTATAAAGTACACCCAAACATTTCCTTTGTTTATCCCACGTTCACACAATTAACTTCCTGTCGGCCTCTCGTAGTTATAATATTCTTTGGCACTCTTGCTAGACTAGTATCAATTTCTTTATAATTAGCCTCTTGGCCTGGCTCGCTCTGAGTCACTTCCGTCTAGCCTGTAACCACACGTAGTCTTAGACCCTCCCTGCTGGTATACAGCGCACATTTAGTTCTTCTCTCAGTTGCTCCTGAGGAAGCCCAAGAGGCAAAACGTTGAGCCATTAAACAAATTTTAAACGTTTTATATTGTTATGTTATACTGAGTAGCAAAAGTTCTGTCAGACCCATTATGTTTCGATACTTTTCGGTACAGCGCTAGAATTGTCGTAAAAATTAAAAGAACAACTTGTGTGACTTATGAGACTCCTTGTGCAATAGCAGACGAAAGAAATCATAAACCGGAAGTAGTCCGTGAAGAAAGTGTTGGTATTGATTTCTCCTGGTCTACGTTGAAGTCAACGCTTCCTACACACATCAGTTGCTTTGAATCAGGGAGACAATGTGTAAACACACTTGACACACTATGAAATTCTGAACTTTTTAACTGTTGGGTACTTTTTTCACCTGTTTTTCAATATAAAAAACTGACAAATTCAGAAAATAAAGGTGCTGTGTGTATGATAAATTCTTTGATAGCACTTTCCGCTGTTTCAAGAAACGTAAATGTGTGTAGAAGAACCATCTAACGTTTGAACAAACGTTTTAAAACAACTAAAACTGTCCAAGACAAGCCTAGGCGAGGACAACCAAGGGCAACAACTCGACGTCAGAATTGGGTTATTGTCAACGCCCATGAATGAAACCCGTTCCAACTAAGTGCATAGACTGTCAGGTACTTCGGTTTATCTAAAAACACTCTTATTAGACATTTATAAGATCGTGAATAACGTGATTATCGCGCTTTGCGTGGAGCCATTCTTACCCTGTTTCAACGAACAAATCGCCAAATTTTGGCACAACAACATTGGCGATGAAACTAAAGACGTTGGTAAAGTGCTCTTTTAAACAAGGGTTAAGGTTTTTAATTCGTTGCATTGATGGAAGAGAAAAAGTGCTAGAAGAGGATAGAGATTTCCCAAATCCAACGTCCCCCAAGAGGTCCGAATCGGTGGCTCAAATGTGATGGCATGGGATGGAATTTCTGCTCCTTATCGTACACATTTGGTTACTTTTCAAAGCAACCTCAAAGGACGACGGTATTGTGACGAAATTCTTCGTCACGTTGGCCTGCCCTACATGGCACGGATGATGGAATGTGCTAACAAGACAACGCCCGACCACAAATGGCTACGATCAGTGAAAACTCCTTTCAAACTCATCAAATCGTTGTTCTGGACTGGCTTGCAAGACAAAAAAGCCTTAACTCGACAGAACATCTGTAAAATGCCCTAGACTGGAAGATTAGAAGTAGGCCCCACTCCGTATATACTCGTCAGGAACTGAGGACTGCACTTCACAGGAATGACAGGGGATTCTTCAGACAACCATAAGGACATTAATTCACTCAACGAACAGATGTTTTGTATTAGTAATTCAAGCTGGAAGAGGCCACAAGCCATACTGAGCAAACTTTGATACAATTTTGCAAAGGTCAGTGTGAATGAAATTATCTCCCTTGAATAAAGAAATACATTTCTCAATTCTTTTCATGTCATGTTGGCAAAAAAATGAATAAAGATCTCGTGTACCAAATTTCTCTTAGCTATATTGAATAGTTATCGAGTTATTGTACTTTCAATGTGAGTGTGACAGAACTTTTGCAACTCGGTATATTTTGTCTGAAATTCAAACAAGACTCTCTCTCTCCTACTCTGCTTATCAAACAATGATGATGATGATGATGATGATGATGATGATGATGATGATGATGATGATGATGATGACGATGATGATGATGATGATGATGATGATGAAAGTGGTTCAGTATGAATTATAGATAGCATCGGTCTAAGGACGGAGCTCTGGATAGCCTCGTACTTTTTTTCTTTTTTTTTTGCGATGATGTCACTCTCAGTTTCTCAGTTGGCAAAATCACCCCCCCACCCCC